GCCTGGGCAACACAGCAAGACTCCATTTCTATAAATATCTATATCTATCTATATCTATATATAGATAGATATATATATGAAAAATAGGCTAGGCGCAGTGGCTCACACCTGTAATCCCAGCACTTTGGGAGGCTGAGGCGGCAGATCACCTGAGGTCAGGAGTTTGAGACCAGCCTGACCAACATGGTGAAACCCCGTCTCTACTAAAAAGGCAAAAATTAGCTGGGCATGGTAGCACACGCCTGTAATCCTAGCTACTTGAGAGGCTGAGGCAGGATAATTGCTTGAACCCGGGAGGCAGAGGTTGTGGTGAGCCAAGATCACGCCACTGTACTGCAACCTGGGCAAAATTCTGTCTCAAAAAAAAAGAAAAATATTTTAGTTGAGTATAGAATCCTAGGTTGGCAGGGTTTTTTGTTTGTTTTGCTTTGTTTAGCACAATTAAAATATTATTCCATGGGATTTTTGTTTCCTGTAGAAGTCTATAACTGTTGGTCTTTTAAATAAAAAGTCCATTGGCTGCTTTTGAGATTTTCTTTTTGTGTGTGGTGTTCGATAGTTTGAGTACCATATGTTTTGTGTAGATTTTCTTTCATTTATCCTTCTAGCAATCAGGTTTCTTGAATCTGTGCATTGGTGTTTTTTTTTTTCAGTTGTGCAAATCCTCAGCTATTTTCTCTGTAAATAGCTACCCCCATTTTGTCTCATCTCTCTTTCTCTATCAGAACATCTTATTATATCTTTCATGTTTCTTAACTTCTCATTCATATTTTACATCTTTTTGTCTCCCTGTGCTACATTCTGGATAATTTCTCATGATTTATCTTCTGTTTCCTGGTTAACTAATTATTCCTTAATCTGTGTCCAACCTGCTACCATTTATGTCCACTGAATTTTTAATTTCAGATACTGAGTTTTTCTTCTCTAGAAATTCTATTTGGTTGTTTTTCAAATCAGCTAGTGATGGCAGAGGCTGCTGCCACCACTCCGGCTGTCACTCCAACTGCAGCAAAGAGGCGCGGCTGGGGCTGCACACTCCATAGAGCCGGTGGAAGCCCGGCCCCTTCTGAGTTAAGGCGGGAGCTCCTCGGGTGCTACTGCAGCCGCCCACACCACAGCCGTAGACCCCGCCTCCGGCTGTACGCAGCAGGAGCCCCGCCCTCTTCGGCGGGCCGCAGCTGCCCAAACTGTGGCTGTGGATCCAAGCTTCCCTGTGCTCTTGGCGGAGGGCCGGGAATAGGCAGGATCTACCCTCCCAGGTGCAGCTGCAGCTGCCAGGACCCACGGCTGCAGACCTGGGCCTCCCACTTCACTGAGCAGGCAGGAGCCGAGGACTAATAGGAGCTCCCAGGTGCAGCTGCGGCTGCCCTCCCAGGTGCAAGACCCGGGCGTCTCTGCAGCCTGCACCCTCGGGGGCCCCAGAAGGACCCGCTCCCCGGCCTCCTCCCATCCCTGCAGGCTCCGGAATGTCTGCTCCCGCTGCCTGGTCTCTCTCCAATCCCGGCACCTGTTCAAATCTCGGAGCCGGATTGGGGCAGACCCTTGAGGGGCCACGAATGGCAGCGGAAGGCATACTGATTCCTGGGTGGAAGAGGGCGGGTCCTTAGTAAGGCCCCACTGCAGGCCAGGGAAAGCCTGAAGGCTGGGGCCAGGCCGTCAGTCCTGCAGACCTGAGTGGGAACTCGTGGTGCCTCTTCCAGCCTGCCCATGGCCGCCCATGGACCAATCTGCATGCACTTCCTCCCCTCTGAGGTCCATGAAAGACCTGGGCTTAGCCAGAGCAGGGCAGAGGATGGCTAGAGGATGAAGAGGGCAGAGAGATGATAGGACGACCAGCTGCAAAGAGGAGCTATCCTCTCTGCTGATAGCAGGAGACAATGGGAGGACCAGCTACAGAGAGGAACTACCCTCTCTTCTGAGAGCATCAGAGACCTGCAGAGACGTCAGGACTATCAGCTGCATAGAGGAGCAGCCCTCTCCAGGGCCTTCTCCCTGCTGAGAGCAGCAGATAGTGGCATGACTTGCCTACAGAGAGGAGCTACCCACTGCGAGTCTTCTTTGAGCTGATGAGCACTTAAAGCTCATCTTCATCTTGTTTACCCTTCTCTTGTCTGTGTACCTCATCTTGGACACAGAACAAGAACTCAGGCAAAGGTGCCTCTGGCCACAGAGGTTTCTAGCCTTTTTGAGGGACTTCTCAAAAAAAAAAAAAAAAAAAATTCCACTTACATGACATAACCAGAGTGGTCAAATTAATAGAAACAGAAAGTAGAATGATAGTTTCCAGGAGCTGGGGCAGGGGGAAATGGGAATTTGTTGCTTAATGGGTGTACAGTTTCAGTTTTGCAAGATGAAAGAGTTCTAGAGATTGTTTGTACAACAAAATGAATATACTTAACACTACTAAACTGTCTACTTAAAAATGGTTAAGACATCAAATTTTATCTTGTGTATATTATATATCTGTGTATTATATGTGCATGAATTACACTACAATAAAAGTAAAACAAAAATTTTAAATAATGCAAAAATATAGTAACCATAGTTGTTTTATGATCAGATACTACTGCAGTTCCGTTTTGCTATCTGTTGTTTCAGCTGGTTCTCACAATGCCTTGTTCCTTACGTGCTTGGTTATTTTTCACTATATACTTGTCCTTGTCCCTGAAAAACTGCTGATGAAAATTCATGGAGAATGAAGACCAGCATAAAAGTACAATCCTCCAGAGACGGTTTGAATTTGCTTCTGCCAGACACTTAGACACACTTTCAGTTTAGGACTACTTTAAACTAGATTTATAACTTAAAGTTAAAAAAAAAATACTTCATGTAATATGGACTATAAATCTACCAAAAAAAAAAAAAAAAAAAAAAGGCCAGTTATGATTACAATGTCTCAAGGAGAGTTTTCTCCCTACCTGCTCAGTGTAGTTAACAAGCCAACTTTTCTTGGAGTTTCCTGGCAGAAAGATGTAGGGGAGGTTTACTTCTGATTCACCTTTCCCCAAATCGTAGGCCTCTGGGGATGCTCACAACTAATACAGGAAAGACTCCTCACCTTGGTGGACCCTGAGCTTTGATTTCATTCTTCTTTACCCTGCATTGCTGTCATAATGAAATCCAAGTTTGCCTAGATTGGCAAATAACCTCAGAGCAAAATTTACTTCCTTCCACTTGGGCAGCACTTCTATACTTTATATTTTTAAACTATTTTATGCAGCATTTTAAGTTGCTTTTTAGCAACATGTCAGCCCAAATAACCTAACCAGTCAGAAGTCCCTCTACTTTATTTCCTGTTTCATTGACTTATGCTTTTCTATTTATTTTCTTCCTCCTACTTTTGTATTGTTGTTATTTTCCCTCTAACTTCTTGAGTTGAATACTTAGCTCATTATTGCATTTTCTTTTCTATTATAAGGCTAGTCTACCTTAAGGCTCTAAATTTCCTTTACAGTATACATCTTTCATTGTAATCCATATTTTGATATGTAGTAGAGAAGCGATTGCCCGAAGCCAGTTGGCGTCCACCTGTCTTTATCATCTCCACCCAACAGGGTTCTTGTGCTGCCCTGGTTATATTCTGAAACATCTGCACTCAGGTCTGAACGAGTACAGGCAATTTTCACCATCTGGGCAGCAATGGTAGCCCAAGGCAATGCTAGGAGAATTAACAGCATAATTTTTTTTCTTTTTTCTTTTTTTTATTTTTTTTGAGACGGAGTCTCGCTCTGTGGCCCAGGCTGAAGTGCAGTGGCACAATCTCAGCTCACTGCAAGCTCCGCCTCCTGGGTTCATGCCATTCTCCTGCCTCAGCCTCCGAGTAGCTGGGACTACAGGCGCGCACCACCACGCCCAGCTAATTTTTTGCATTTTTAGTAGAGATGGGGTTTCACCGTGTTAGCCAGGATGGTCTCAATCTCCTGACCTCGTGATCTGCCCCCCTCGGCCTCCCAAAGTGCTGGGATTACAGGCGTAAGCCACCACACCCGGCTTCTTTTTTTGATACAGGGTCTTGCTCTGTCACCCAGGCTGGAGTGCAGTGGCACGATCTCAGCTCACTGCAGCCTTGACTTCCTGGGCTCAAGTGATCCTCCTACCTCAGCCTCCCAAGTAGCTAAAACTATAGGCATGCACCATCACACCTGACTAATTTTTGTAGAGATGGGGTTTTACCATGTTTCCCAGGCTGGTCTTGAACTGCTGGACTCAAGCAGTCTTCACACCTCAGCCTCCCAAAGTGCTGGGATTACAGGCATGAGCCACCGTGCCCAGCTAAGAGCATAATTTAAGCCATCTTTTTCTAACTCAGCTTTTTCCAACACTGGCTACCTATGAAAATTAGTAGGAAGTTTTGAAAAATACTGCTGCCTGGGTCCCAACCAGAGAATGTTGTGATTGGTCTGGGGTGGGGCCTGGACTTGAGTACTTTTGGTGATTCTAAGGTGAATCCAGGGTTGAGAACCACTGCTGTAATTTTTTTTTTTTTTTTTGAGACGGAGTCTTGCTCTGTGGCCCAAGCTGGAGTGCAGTGGCGCGATCTCGGCTCACTGCAAGTCCGCCTCCCTGGTTCACGCCATTCTCTTGCCTCAGCCTCCTGAGTAGCTGGAACTACAGGCGCCCGCCACCGCACCCAGCTAATTTTTTGTATTTTTAGTAGAGACGGGGTTTCACCATGTTAGCCAGCATGGTCTCGAACATCTGACCTCAGGTGATCCACCCGTCTCGGCCTCCCAAAGTGCTGGGATTACAGGCGTGACCCACCGCACCCGACCCCGCTGCTGTAATTTTATTTGGTCATTGCCACCGACTTGACTGAATCCTCTCTCTTCCCCACCCCCAATCCATTTGAAACAGCCTCTGTCTTCCCAAGACTATAGTTTCTTGGTTTTCATATTGCTGTCTATGTTTCTCCAAGGTGGACTGGGAAAGGAGGCAGAACCCTGGTAATTTACCATGTTGGCAGGAACTAGAATTCCCCCTCATGTTATCTGTCTTCACAGGAGGTCTCGGCGTGAAACAGCAGCAGTGGTGTGGGATGACTGCCAAAATGGGCACCGTGTTGGCAGGGGTCTTCACCATCATGGCCGTACACATGTATCTCATCTTTGAACATAATCACCTAGGGCATGGCAATTGCAGTGAGATCGCACTAAAGTACGAGAGTGCAAGTGGCATCATAAATGACTTCATCATCTGCTGGAGTTTTAAAATCGTCCTCTTCCTCTCTTTCATCACCATCGTCATCAGCTGCTTCCTCCTGTACTCAGTGTATGCCCAGATCTTCAGGGGCCTGGTCATCTACATTGCCTGGATTTTTTTCTATGAAACCGTAAACGTCGTAATACAAATCCTCACCAATGACGACTTCAGCGTTACAGAGGTCAGAATCATGCGCTGGTTTGGCTTGGTGTCTCGTATCATCATGCACTGTTTCTGGATGTTCTTTGTCATCACCTATGCCCACATAACCTACAAAAACCAGAGCCAGTGCAATATAATTTCCTACAAGAGACGAATTTCTACAGCGGAGGCTCTCCACAGCAGAAATAAAAGATTATCAGTTTTGGATGGGCTCAGTGGCTCATACCTGGAATCCCAGCGCTTTGGAAGGCAGAGGTAGGTGGATCGCCTGAGGTCAGGAGTTCAAGACCAACCTGGCCAATATGGCAAAACCCCGTCTCTACTTTAAAAAGTAGAAAATTATCCAGGTGTGGCAGCACACGCCTGTAATCCCAGCTACTTGGGAGGCTGAGACTGGAGAATCACTTGACCTGGGAGGTGGAGGTTGCAGTGAGCCGAGATCACACCACTGCACTTCAGCCTGGGTGACAGAGTAAGACTCTGTCTTAAAAAAAAAAAAAAAAATTAGCAGCTTTATTCACCACTATCAGCAATCATGTTGGCCCTTTTCTTTTCCCTGAGAGGTAGGTATCTCAGGTTCCCGGCGTAGTTCTATTTCCTTTTCTTCCCCCTACTTTTGCTTAGCAGTTCCGCAAGTAGAAACCCTACTGCCACTCTTTCAGGAGAACATGGAGAGAAAATGTGATTATAATCACAACTGGAACATCCTGCTCATTGAGGGTATTTACTTAAAGGATATTGTGATTTATCAAACCTTCTGTGAACTCCACCTTTCTACTACCTGATGGGTCAAAATGAACGGAGTAAGATGAAGCTGAATTGCAGTATGGCAATCCTTTTTTCTTGGCATCTTCATTAGCCTTCAACCCACAGCTCTTTAACCCTGGGATAAGCAAATCTGTATTTATACCTCAGATTTTTGTAGCACAAAGGATGCTGTTGGTCCTGGGGTTTGTGCTATGATTTCCCCACTATTCTTCTGTTTTTTTCCAGATAAGAAAAATAATAAAAATAGAGAAAATTCGTCTGTCTTGAATTTCCCCACCCTTCCCAAATTTGTCAAGCAGTGTGAAAGGCACTTCCTTAATCAAAAGATATATGTTAAACATATTTCTGTATCTGTCTCTGTGCTGTACTCTGTAGTGTGAACACTGTACTGAACATTGTGTATACACCATATACAAAAATGTATAAGATATGAATGACTATGAGAATTTTGTAGTTTAGTGGAAGAAAGTAAATTATTGTTTATGAATCAATTAGCCAATCATATAAGACAGTATATGATTACATACTATCACAAATAAACAGATATCACTTTGCATTCAGGTTCAGAGACTGTCCAAAGCACGTTTTTTATTTTTGAGACTGAGTCTCGCTCTGTAGCCCAGGCTGGAGTGCAATGGTGCAACCTCGGCTCAGTGCAACCCCTGCCTCCTGGGTTTAAGCGATTCTCCAGCTTCAGCCTCCCGAGTAGCTGGGATTACTGGCACAGGCCACTACGCCCAGCTAATTTTTGTATTTTTAGTAGAGGCGGGGTTTCACCATGTTGGTCAGGCTGGTCTTGAACTCCTGACCTTAGATGATCCACCTGCCTCAGCCTCCCAAAGTGCTGGGAGTACAGGCGTGAGTCACCCACTGCTGCTATAGTAACTGAGTAATTTATAAAGAGCTGAGATTTATTTTCTCACACTTTTGGAGGCTAGAAGTTCAATACCAAGGTGCCACTAGGTTTGGTGTCTGGTAAGGGCCTGCTCTCTCTGCTTCCAAATGGTGCCTTGTTTCTGTGTCCTCCAGAGGGCACAAACACTGTCCTTACATGGCAGAAGGGATGGAGAGGCAAAATAAACTAGCTAGTTCCCTCCTGCCCCTTTATAAGGTCACTTATTCCATTCATGAGAGCTCTGCCCTTATGATTTAATCATCTCCTAAAGGCCCCATCTTTTAATGCTGTTGCATTAGGGAATAAGTTTCAACATGAATTTTGGAAGGCACAAACAGTCAAACCATAGTACTCACCATTTGCCAAGCTGTACTCATCATTGTCTTCCCCGCTCCCATCCTAAGTGCTCTCCTGCCCCTGTGCTCCTCATCTCAGAGGATGGGCTGTCCTCCATCCAGATGCTCATCCCAGACTCCTTTTCCCACAGCCCCAGGCCCCAAATCTGTGCCCCAACATCCATCTGCTGCCTTACTTCACCTTATTTCCTTCCATGGCCTCTCAACTACTCTGTCTACCTCCACCTTTGATCCCTTTCTGACCCATGGCCCTCATAGCACCAAGAAAGATTTTTCTGAAATGCAAATAGGGCCAGGCGCAGGCGCTCACGTCTGTAATCCCAATACTTTTGGAGGCCAAAGCGGGTGGATCTCTTGAGGTCAGGACTTCAAGACCAAGCTGGCCAACATGATGAGACTCCTTCTCTACTAAAACTACTAAAATTAGGCGGGTACGGTGACGGGCACCTGTAATCCCAGCTACTCGGGGGGCTGAGGCAGGAGAATCGCTTGAACTTGGGAGATGGAGGTTGCAGTGAGCCATAATTGTGCCACTACACTCCAGCCTGGGCAACAGAGTGAGACTCTGTTTCAAAAATAAATAAATAAATAAAATGCAAATCTGATTATGTCTGTCTGTCTGTCTCTCTCTCTCTCTCTCTCACACACACACCCCCACACCCACACGCCTACACACCCTGAAGAACCTCTCCTTTACCTTTCAGAGAAACATCCACACGGCTGGTAGCAGGTAAGGATCATTCCTGATCTGGCCCCTGCCAACCTACACAGCCTTCCCCTCTGCTCAAGCTAAGCCAAACTTGCTGTTTCCAAAATGGCTTTTGCCTGTCCCTGTGCCTACCCCTTTGTGTTGTCCCCTTTGCTTGGGGTGTAGTCCCTCCTTTTTCTGCCTAGTTAATGCCCGTGTCTTTTAAGACCCAAGCTCAGCTATTGCCTACTCCAGAAAGCCTCCCCGATTTTCATCCAATGATTTTCATCTCTCTCATTGTTACATCTTGACAACACTGAGCCATCTCTTCCTCTATCACATTTATCACATGGCACTATAAGTTTTCTTTTTTCTTTTTTCTTTTTTTAGATGGAGTCTCGCTCTGTAGCTCAGGCTGGAGTGCAGTGGTGTGATATCAGCTCCCTGCAACTTCTGCCTCCCGGGTCCTGGTTGAGCAATTATTCTGCCTCAGCTTCCCAAGTAGTTGGCGCGTGCCACCACGCCCAGCTAATTTTGGTATTTTTAGTACAGATGAGGTTTCACCATGTTGGCTAGGCTGGTCTTGAACTCCTGACCTCGTGATCCACCTGCCTCATGTTTTCTTTTTTATTAATTAAAAGCAATTTTTAGTCATTTGTTTTTTTATTTGTCTAACTTCCACACTAGCATATTTACCTGCTTATCTCCAGTGCCAAGCTCATCCCCCAGCACCTAGTAGATACACAATAGATGTTTGCTGAGTGAGTGTTGAATGAATAGAAGGTACCAGAAGACCTTGGCCAGTGGCAGAAAGAGAAGTTAGGCCATTATTATAGTGACTCAGGAGAGAGGTGCCAAGGGTGGAGACCAAGGCTGGGACAGCAGAGCTGTGGAACCAGTGGGGTTTATATAGACATTTCCTTGAAACTTGCAATATAGACATAAAGCAAACGAGTAAAACTGTGTGGTTCAGGGCCGTATTTTTAGATGATTCAGGTGAGTACCCCATGGGTAGTGGCTGCTCTGAAGGCTGCCCTGTGAACTGAGCAGAGGTGAGGTTTCATTGGTGCAGACGGGGAAGTATGAGTGCAACCATCCACCAGACAACACATTGCCTCCCTCCTGGGCCCTCCAGCCAGGTTCTAGGGTGCACTGAGAGTTTTGTGTATCAGGAGTCACACAGGGTTGGGAGAATGGTGGGGAATAAAATATAAGGATATTTGGGATGAATCTGGAAAACCTGATGCTAAGTGAAGTAAGCCAGATACCAAAGGACAAATGCTGTATGATTCCGTTTATATGAGACACCTAGAGCAGGCATATTCATAGAGACAGCAAGAAAAATGGTTAGTAGGGACTGGGGGAAGAGGGGAACGGGGAGTTGATGTTTATAACGGGTACATAGTTTTTGGTGGGGATGATGAAAAAGTTCTGGAGATGGCCGGGCATGGTGGCTCATGCCTGCAATCCCAGCACTTTGGGAGGCTGAGGCAGGAGGATCACTTGTGGTCAGGGGCTCAAGACCAGCCTGGCCAACATGGTGAAACCCTGTCTCTACTAAAAATACAAAAATTAGCTGGGCATGCTGGTGCATGCTTGTAATCCCAGCTACTTGGGAGGCTAAGGCAGGAGAATTACTTGATCCTGGGAGGCAGAGGTTGCAGTGATCCAAGATCGTGCCACTGTACTCCAGCCTGGGTGACAGAGCAAGACTCTGTCGAGAGAGGGAGAGAGAGAGAGAGAGAGAAAGGAAGTTCTGGAGATGAATAGCGATATGCTTGCACGACAACGTAGTGAATGTACTTAATGTCACTGAATTGCACCTTCAAAAAGGGCTAAAGTGGTGAATTTCACATTCTGTATGTTTTACTGTATTTGGAGTTGATCCAGTGAGTGAAGAGGAGAGGACAGGAGAGAGGCCAGTGGCAGTCTGTCTGTGCTCTGCCTGGCTGGACAGGACCCGTTCCGGTCACCTCAGAGAGAGGCCAGGTCAGGCTTCCAACAAATTATCCCCCACTGGACATTCATCGGCCAGAGGACAGCCCTGTATTCTCCTCATGTGTGACTGTGCCCCTTCCTTTGCCCCACAACAGAGGTAGCTAGCCAGTGTAGTGAATGAACAGGAGAGAGGTTTGCTCAGGAGTCCTCTGAATTGGGCGCCAGTAAGAAGGAGATACAGGCTGTGGAGGAACATTTGCACTGGGGCCCAGCCTACCCCAGCCTTGGGTCCTCCATTATCAACATGCCTCCAGGGATCAGCTTGGGCACCAGCTTCCTGCTGCCTGCCATGGGTTGACCTCTAGAGCTCAGGTGTAACCTAGGTTGCAGCTGGAGGTCTGCCCACTGGGCCTTCACCTGCACAATGGTCGCTTATTATTAAGGCATTTTGGCCTTGGGCAGAGAAGACAGTAAGTCTTGCCTGGCTCCATAAACCTCTACCCATTCCATGCCTGCTGGCCAAACCCTATGACTTGGGACAAGGCTAGGCCATACCTAGGGAGCAAATCAGGGAAATTTCTAAGGGCTTGGAAGGAAAGAGTCGGGGGGCAGGGGATGTCAGGGTTGATTCCAAGCCCTTGAGGAGCCATGAGAGTTTTCTGACTTCAGAGAAGCAGACTCCCCAGATGGGAGCTTCATTCACACCATCATTATTCCCAATACATACAGGAGCCTCTGAATTCCCACAAACTTACATCAACAGGAGCACTCTTTTTGCCACTTTAAAACAAAGCTGAAACTGGAATAGCAGAATTGGAAGCTACTGAGGAGAGTCCCAGGCCAGTGATACATTCATTTCCCAATGAGGTGGTCATGTCTAGCTAGTTAGGTCAGAGCAGGGACTAGACCCCATGTCTCTTAACTTCCAGCCTATTGCCTGTCCACACACCATCATTGCTCTTAACTCTCCTATTTATACATAGTGGCTTGGGGGATCTGTCTAAGGCTACCTCTGCCATCTTGTCATGTGTCTTCATGATTTTCTTCCTGCAGGAGGTGCTCTGGTAAAACAAGTATAAAATGAACGTCAGGATGTTGTCCCTCATGGTGGGCATCTTCTCTGTCCTCAATACCATCCAGTTCTTCATCTTTGACGTGAACCACATGACACACATTGGCTATGAGGCCAAGTTCCACATCTACATGGACTCAAAGTCAGAGCTAGTCACTTGGATCCTGTCCAACAGGGCTAACATCAGCACTGGCCTCTCCTTCACCACCATCATCATCAGCTGCTTCCTCCTTTATAGTATCCACAAGAATATCTACACAGGGCTGCTGATCTATGCCATGTGGATCATCACTTACGAGTGCATCAAATTCTCCATAGTCCTGGTCCTCAACAGGATCATTGAAGATTTCTTCAAGGAGCTGAGTTACTTGCACTGGATCTTCCAGATCTCGCACATGCTCCTGCACTTTTTCTGTCTGCCCTTCATCGTCAAGCATGCACACAACCTTTACAAGGAATCCCAGACTGTGAGCAGGAAACGCCGCCACATGCTCTCCTCCACCACTGCAGTGAACTCATGACCACCTGTCTGTCTGGGAATGTTGTACCGGAAATTAAACTGAACCATGCCAGGAAAGGTGGGAGGGAACGGTGCTCCTCAACAATAG